ACTCTAATGTTTGGTCTCTTAATGTTATCCCATATTTATTGGATGTTCTGCTTATGGTTTCTTAACAGTCTTGCTGAGCTGTCTATGTTCTTTTCAAGTTGAAATACTTTGTCTTCATTGTCTGATGTTCTATCTTCTAAGTGTTCTACTCTGCTGGTAGTATTCTCAATTGAGTTTTTAAGTTGGTTTATTGCTTCCTGCATTTCTAGGATTTCTGTTTGTTTGTTTTTTATAACCTCTATCTTCCTGTATAGTTGATCCTTTGCTTCCTGGATTTGTTTGTGTAATTCCTTGTCGAAGTGATCTTTCATTGTATGATTTTGCTGTCTAATGTCTTCCTTGATACTCCAGATCATCTGAAGCATATATATCCTGAATTCTTTATCTGACATTCCATCTGCTGCAGCTGTTACCTCTTCTAAAGTTGAGTTGACCTGCATTGCTTGTAGTCCTTTCTTTCCTTGTCTTTTCATACTGCTTGCGTTTCTTTCTTCTTGGTGAAACTGTTGTGTTTTTGAAATTCCCCCCCCCCATATATTTATATTGCTCTTGTATAGTTGAAAAGTCTCTCTTGCAGGTGCGGGCGGGGGCTCTGCTCTGCCCCTCCTCCGATTGGTGTGAGGTGTCTACCACGCCCGCGGACCCCTGGGCCTGATCCGCTGTTCTGTCACAGGTCTGCCTACCTTGCAGGTGGGGGCGAAGGCTCTGCCCTGCCCCTGCTACCACGCCCGGGGACTGCTAGGCCTGATCTGCAGGTTGGCCACCGGTCTGCCCACCTTGCGGGCACGGGTGTCAGTTCCGCTCCACCCCCACTCCAATTGGGGTCACTTGACCACCACACAGGCGGGCTGCTGGGCCTGATCTGGGTGCGGGCGAAGGCTCTGCTCTGCCCCTACTCCAGTTGGGGTGAAGTGTGTACCACGCTGGCAGGCCGCTGGGCCTGATCCGCCGGTCTGTCGCAGGTCTGCTTACCTTGCTGGCGCGGGCGGCGGCTCTGCCCTGCCCCTCCTACCACGCCTGCAGACCGCTGGGCCTGATCTGCAGGTTGGTCGCAGGTTGCCTACCTTGCGGGCATGGGCGGTGGCCCCGCTCCTCCCCTCTGACTCGACGACCTAGAATTCCATTTATAAGCTTCTGTAAGTACATTTACACGTAAAAATATAGTCACAAAATTCTTTGTGAATTTGTGAATGCACTTAGGCTTATTTTCCAGAAGATGAGATACAGTAACTACTTCTACCTCATTTTCCTGAACTTACAGACATCCGAAACTTGTTCCCTTCCTTACACTTTTCAGAGACAATGGACAGGTTTATTTCTCTCTATTCGTGGAATTAAGCCTGAGTGATGAACTAAGGAAAGAAGGGCCAAGGACATCTCAGGATCTAGAATAGCAGAAAAGAAGACTTGGAGGGAGGATCAGAGTAAACAGGATCCCAACAATACTAAGAGGACACAGAGTGAAAAGGGTGTGAGGAGCAATGGGTGGAGGGATGGGATCAGGTGATGCTGCAAGGAAGGGGATCAAAGGAGGAATCTGGTCTCAGTCTGAACACATCAATGGAATCTTCTGTAGGTTCTCCATGAACCCAATAATGCTATCAAGGGCTTTATAGTTTTTGTACACAGAATGGACTACAGGGTGTAAAAGTGAAAAGTGTTATAACTTGCAAGTTTCTGACATTCCAGACCAGAAATCATTTTTGATTAAATAAGCAAAAATAAATCCTTTTTCCTTTTTGTGTTATATGATGGGATGGTTTCCTTGCTCTGACTTGGAGATCTCTACTCTTTCATTCTCCAGAGATAATCTTCTCTTAATCCCTTTTAGCATACCTCTTATCTGTGGTACTGTCACTTTGTGGCTTGCTTTATCTTCTGTTTCCTTGATGTAACTTTATCTCTCTCTACTCATTTACAGATATTTTGATATTATTTCTATTATTATTTTTAAAGGTTGATTCAGAATCTTTTCAATACAGTCTTTATTATGATACTGGCTGACCAATTTGGTCAAAAGAATATCTGTTCATTGTCCTAATATCAGTTGAGACTTTCTGGTTCTTTATATGTCTAGTGGTCTTGTATTTTATACAGGATATGTCTAATTATGTATTGTGATATTATGTATCTATTGAAAATACAAAAAAATAAATAAAATGTCATATATGATTAATGTAAAAAATAAATAAAATCCTATGTTTATATTTTTGTTTCAGTAGACTATATATGCATTTAGATTAAACCAAATTTCTCTGGATTGTGGATTTTATATTGTACCAATTTAGAAACCCTTACCCATGATATTTCGGTCTTTCTTTATTGTGGCATTTGCAGGGATCAGCTGGGTTCCAGGTCGCACTCTACATGTCAATTCTAGTCCATATTCTTTTGTATCCTCTCTGGGATCAGAATGATTGCAAGTGTAGGTCAGAATTGAGCCTGATTTGCAGGGTGGTTTTTCTAAGTTCATTCCTTTCCACAACTTTCCCACTATATGTGTGTCCTCGGGCCTTCCTTTGTCTTCTGCCCATTTCCTATGACAGAGGTCAGGATGCCACCAAGTACTAAGAGGACACAGAATAATAGAAGTAGTGGAATCAAGTGACACTCTCTTGGGAAATCAGCTCCTCAAATGAGAAAGGAGAGCCCCCACAGTCTCTGCTGCCACCACTGTGAACACAATTTCCCAAGTCAAGATCAAGTAGAATGGAGAAAAGAAAAATCCTAAGAAAAAGAAAGTGTGCACATTCCAAGTTTCCCAGAGCATGAGGAATTCCTTTTCTTCTGTAGGAGAGACAAGAGTGGGGTGTCACTGTGTCCTGCACAGCAAGGGATCAGTAAACCAAACAAATGTGTGAACTTGCTGGGAAATTAAACGTCTGAAATAATATAAATCTGAAAAATTATTTAGAGATAAAACCAAGATAATTGCTGTATTTCGTCTGAAAAGATAGTGTGTGCTTACTCAATCCTAAATGGAATATGAAAAGAATAATGATATTTTTACTTAGGAAATTAAATCAATCTGAACCACAAGCCACACAAAACACAGAATTATAGAAAGTACTTTAATGAATGGAGGACTCTTTGTTACACTTGTGTGGTTTTTATTTTTTATCTTTGAGATAAGTCTGCTTGGTCATGCCACATTCATGGGGTAGGATGGAAATTAGCCATAAAAATAATCTAAATAACTGCATCTGTTGGACTGGACACATAAGTTAAACATAAAATTGAATGTAATCTTCAGGTAAGAATGAAGTCTATAGTAAAATTTAAAGATGTTTATACTAGGTGAAATAAGCTAGGCACAGAAAGATAAAAACTCCATGATTTCAATTATATGTGTAATCTATAAGAGAAGAACAAGGACTCACAGAGGTGGACAGTAAAATGGTTCTACAATAGGGGTGAAGTGGGGGAAGGGAACAGGATAAAGCGAGATTTAGAAAAAGGGGACAAATTTTCAGACAGAAGAAATAATTTCTAGTGGTCTACTGCATAGTGTGGTGACTGTACTTAATAATAATAGATTATGTATTTCAAAATAGAGTAAAATATAACTTAAATATTCTCCTCAAATAAAAGTGATTTTGAAATTTCTGAAGAGAGAATCACACAGAAATGGAAAGAGGAAAAGTGATTTCTTTCACAGATAGGCAGAGTGGATGAGTATGTTGAGGGAGAAAGCAATTGGAATGACTGCTGATGGTCATGAATTTTTCTTCTTGGGTGATGAAAATGCCCTAAAATTAATTGTGGCGATTGTTGCACAATTCTGAACACAGTAAGAGGACTGGAGAGTCTATGTGAAATAATTGAATTGTTGATATATGAGTTACAATTCAATAAAGCTGCTTTAAAAAACAAAGTGAGGTAGATTCATTAGCCTGAATTAATCATTCAACAATTTATACATTCACTGTACCAGGTAGTATAACCTAAGATATAAAATATCAATTAAAATATAAAATATTTGGCTAGGCAAGGTGATGCATGCCTATAATCCAAGCAGCTTGAGAGACTGAGGCAGGAGGATCATGAGTTCAAAGCCAGCCTCAGCAACTTACCAAGACCATCAGCAACTCAGTGAGACCCAGTCTATAATACAATATAAAAAAGAGCTGAGGATGTGCCTTAGTGGTTCAGTAACTCTAGTTTCAATTCCCACAACCAAAAAATAAAATAAGGTAAAATAAAATAACTTAAAATAAATAGCTCTTATTTTAATAAAAATGGCCCATTTTCCAAAATTTTTCTTCCCATTTTGCCTTCATCTCCTTGTAGATCCCCTAAACAAGAATAAGGATTCATGGAACTCACTTCTGAGACTGAGATTCAGTCACTTAGCAAGAATTGGTCATTAGTTGGGAATGGTCAAACAGGAATGAAACTACAGAATCAGGTCAGGACTATGGCCCTTGGTGGGGCACCCAGTTTCCTTCATGAGACTCCTTCCCAGTGACCACTGGATGATCCACATGGCATGTGATGAGTGACCAGGGAGTAACTCAAATACTGATAGAATTTGATGCTGTATGTGCTTCCACACATAGCACAGGGGAGGGGCAGAAACAAGACTGCCTATGGGGAGACCCCACCAACAACAAACATAGCAGGTGTTTCCTGGGTGGGCAGACTTGTTTCCTCACAGTAGAGAGATCTTGGAGAATGAGCACCAGAAGAGGGCACTGTGACGCAGGCCTGGAGGGTGACAGACACAGTGAGATCTCAGCAGAGACACTGAAGAGCTAGGTGATCACAGAGATGATGCACTTCAGCAGATCTTTCTTTCCTGTTCAAGCAAGAATAGATAATTTATGTTTCTGATTCTCAGGAAATCTAAAGACAGGGAGATTATATCTGCTCATCTGAACTCTTCAGATAGAGATGTAAAAGTGTAGAGTTCAGGACAGGCCAGAGTGGGCTGAGGAGAGGCAGATTCAGGAAGCAGATTTGCATTGAGGACCTCCTTCATTTCTCTGAGGCAATGAAGCAGATAAATAAGTCTGGAGATGCCAGGTCCAGTGCTGGAGTCTCAGGAGGGAGTGCTCTGGGGCACCACAACCATGGTCTGGACTCTGCTTGTCCTCACACTCCTCAGTCAGGGTACTTATGTGACATTTGAAGAAAAGGAGGTCTTGGGGAAATCTGGGCTAACGTTTTGTTTCATCCTTCTCAGGTTTACCTTGGCCAGGGTTTGATTCAACACCAAGAGTTTTCTCCTCTTTTCAGGTTTCCAGGCCCAGTCTGCTCTGACTCAGCCTCCTTCTATCTCTGGAACTCCTGGACAGTCAGTCACCATATCCTGTGCTGGAACCAGCAGTGACATTGGGAAATATAATTATGTCTCTTGGTACCAACATCGTCCAGGAACAACCCATAAACTCATGATTTATGATGTTAGTAATCGTCCCTCAGGGATCCCTTCTCACTTCTCTGGCTCCAAGACTGGCAACACAGCCTCTCTGGCCATCTCTGGGCTGCAGCTGGAGGATGAGGCTGACTACTACTGCTGTTCATATGCAGGCAATGAAAATTACCACAGTGGGCCAAGTTGAAGGAGAAGTGAGACCAAAACCTCCCCTAAGGACAAAAGCTCCTTCTTGCTCTGATGAGGCTTCCTAAACTCTAAAGAGATAGTTTCCTGCAACATTGACTAAATTTAAATTCCCATTCAGCTGTCCTCTAGTCCCATGGTGAAATAATGAACAAAATGTACTCCAGTTTATGTTCTTGGTACAGTGACAGCATACTCTGCTCAGTGTGAAGTGGTCTCAGGGGATGTGTATCTCTCCAAACTCTTCATTTTGCTGGAAGAGAGGGTCAAGTCCAAACCTATAGGTACAAATCCTCCAGTTATCAGGGAAATCTTCATTGTAAATGCCTTCAAGTCCCTCCGTGGTGCAGGCTCACCTTGGTGCAGTTTGGTATCAATGACATTGTATTCATTTCATATTCACCGCACTTCAGTCAGGGTGATCCTGGATGTGTGATCTCCTTTTTGTCTTTTCTTGAAGGAAGTTCAACTGAGACTAGTCTTAATAATGTTGCCAAGGGAGTGACACAATGTACGTGCAAGTTTTCACCTTAGCCTGGTGAACTTTATTGCTTACCAATACCATATACTGTAGAGTATGTTATTTGCCTTGTGATTGCAAGGCTTAATGGAGCTCCTCAGAATTACAACCAAGTTACAACACACATGTAGCTACACTGAGAAAAGATCAAAATTGAAAAGTGGAAGTATGAATTTTATTGGTTGTAATATGCCATGACCAGTCTAGCCAGTCTAGAAGTTTCCAGTGAGGTATGATACGGGCTTAAAAATAAAAGACCCACAGATGCAGATTTTGAAGACAAAGTAGCTGGGATCAGGTGGAGTGCCACTCTCTGATGGAGAAGAAGATCTAAATATTTACACCAGCGGCGATATATATATATATATCTCCCATTAGTTGGTTAAAGACTACTCAAAGTATTATTCTTTCTACTCAATAAATTACAGGGCTAGAAACATTTATGTAGTTTTTTTTTTCTTCAGTTGTGGTTTACAGTCGCAATCTGCAATGTTAGGAGCTTTCTGTAGCTCTCAAGAAAATCTGTTTTTTTTTTTTAAATTACTGTTAAGTGGGCAGCTTTGGAATTAGTGGAGGTGGTGAAACATTGTGGTTGTCCAGCAGGAGAGTTCCTCTATTCCCAGGAACTATGTGCCCTGAGATCAAGGTTGAGGCTGATAAGACTCTTCTGCAGAGCCTTCTCACGCAGGACATTGCCACAGCAGCTAGGCATCCTGCAAACTTGCAAAGGA